CCATTCATTTCTGCCAGTAGCTCAAACTGTGCTCTATATGCTTCCCACGGTACCTTCCCATCGAATTTCTGTGGCTTCCTTCGTACGAGATCACCCCTATTGCTGACATTCATATCTGGGATGTGACTTCTAACAGGACTGAAGATGTCTGCATTAGGGTTTAGCTGCAGGGTCTGGAAGTGGCTTGCCATTGTCTGGGGCTGATTAAGTCGATGGTTAATGTCTCCTCCTTGTGTAAAATACAATAAATCATCCTTTAATGCATTTAATTCCTTTGAAATTTACTAATGTTTTCCATTTGTGTGCTCTGGCTTTCTCTCAACTGTTGGAGACTTTCTTCTTGTTCATTTTCTCTCTCCTCTAACCAATGCCGTAGTCTCTCTTCTTGTTTATTTTCTTTCTCCTCCAACCACTGCTGTAATCTCTCTTGTTTAATTTGCTGTTCGAGCTGCCACTGTTGCAAGTTATCTTGCCACTGCTGCAATCTCTTTTCTTGTTTCTTTTCTTTTCCTCCAACAACTGTTGTAATCTCTCTTCTTGCTTCTTTTCCTTTTCCTCCAACAACTGCTGTAATCTCTCTTCTTGTTTATTTTCTCGTTCTACTTGTTTCTTTTCTTTTTCTTCCAACAACTGCTGTAATATCTCTTCTTGTTTATTTTCTCTTTCTACTTGTTTCTTTTCTTTTCCTCCAACAACTGCTGTAATCTCTCTTCTTGTTTCTTTTGCTGTTCTTGTATTGCTGCCATCAAATCTGCTAAGCTGTAATTTGGTTTGCCACCTCTCGTTTCCATCTTCTTCTTCTTCTCTTTTTTTCATTTTTATTTTCCACCCCACTTCTGACACCATTTTGTTACGTCTCTGTTCGTTTGTTAATTTCCCGTAGAAATTCTTCCTGAGAAACTTCAGTGATACATGTCCTTTCTTAAATAAAACTAGTTTATTCTTTCTCAATACAAGTTTGCAATACACTTAAATTCCACAGTTACTTTAACTTCAACACACGCTATAATTCACAACGAACGATTCACGCACTTTACTTCTAACCGCGCTTGACTCAATTGTCCGTCTCTATCTCTGCCTGTCTGCAATTCTGTCCCGATTCATTGTCTGGCGCACTTATATACAAGAATAG